AGTCACTTTTGGTATCAATTCTTGTAGGTTGTGTTCCTACAGGAGATGAGATGATCTGAGCCAGAGGGTTGGTGTGCAAGACAGTTTTTAGGGAATCCTTCTGTGGTCAAGACCAGTTGAAAAGAAGAAATCAGAGTTGAGCTTGTGATACAGTGTCAGCAGAAACTTTGCTGACTCCTGGGAAGCTGTGAAAAAGGACTGACCCTCCAGTGTTGTCCTGAGTTAGGAGAAGGTTTGGCTTGTATGCCTGTGAATCGCCTACTTATTGGATGCTGGCTGGCCCAGAAAGAGGCGAGACCTTTGGCAAGGTAGCTCTTTACTGCCAAAGCTGTTCCCATCAGGCCTGGCCACTGAGAAATGTACCAGCACTACTTCCAGTAGCCGAGGAAATAAGTCTTTCATTCCTAAGAGAGATCTTGGTGACATATCTCTGCATCCACTGCAGTTTCATTGAGTACAATTGCTTTATTTTACTGTGTGAGTTATTCTTAGTGTAGGAGAGTGAGAACTTTATTGCTTTGTTTACTAAAATTTCTTTCTAGTGGTTATTTCACTCTTATTTTATTCAGTCCAAGGCATGATTCTTCATAATTGAATTGTTAATAATTAATTGTCTCTATTTTTATTTCTCCATATAATTAATCATTTATTTTTTCTATAACCTCTTTATATAATTGAATAGCAAACATGAGGCTTTTTAAAATCTGTTTTACAAGATATTTCCAAACCGCATCTAACTTTACTATTTTTCAAAGTCTCTTAATAAATAGCTAATAAAAGCTATGAGAATAGAAATCGGTAATGTGTTACACTTCTTAAAATTTCTAAATATGCATGAAACAATAGAGAGCTCATAATGTATTACTTTTTATACAAATATATGGAGGCTAATACAATAGCAATAAAAAAAAAGACATTTTGAGTTTTTGCAGGAATGGAACGAGATTTCGAGGACCCATCACCACTCTCTCTGACTATCATGCTTTACCGTTTGTGGTAACACAATACTTATTCCAGTCCCATGAAGCTAACTGGTAGAAGGCATTGAGCCTTTGCTTCCTTATTGAAAGGTGCCTCATTTATTCTCAAGAGTAAAGAGTTTCAAAAATTTGATGACTTCCATTTGAAAAATACTCCCCTATGTTAGGTTGTGTAATAACACAATTGCCCTTCTTGTGGCATTTGTTTCTTTCACATGGCTCAGAGCTTGCATTGACACTCTTTTCTTAGTGATTCTTACAAATCTCTGTGACTGTTAATCTCTAGTCACTTTCTTTTACTGTTTATCTACATTTCCAGATAACATAAAAATGTAACAGCATCTAAGCATTCTTAGTACAGTAGTCACTATGGTCAGTCATACTTATTTTTAATGAAATACTTTAACATAAGACTTTTTCCTCAACTGTTTACATTTTAAGATACAGTAGGGTGACTTTAGATGGTCCAAGCAAACATGCAAGAATCACAATATATGTAGAGCATGTGCCATTTAGTTATTCAACAATCACTTAAACACATGCTATTTCCAAGCACATAAGGAATCATGGGGATATAAAATTAATAAGGCATAACTTCTGTTTTCAAGAATCTCAAAAAAGACAGTTTGAAAAAACTAAAATACCACTGTACGTTGTAATAACCAGTACAGTAGAGATATCATAATGAAATAACAGTGGAGGAAAAGCTGTACCTAGGGACCCAAACCCATTGCCATTGATTAAGTTCAACTCATAGTGACCCCCCCATAGGGTTTCTAAGGTTGTAACATCTTTACTGAAGCAGACTGCCTCATCTTTCTCTTATGGAGCAGCTGGTGGGTTCAAACCGCCTACCTTTTGGTTAGCACCCAAATGCCTTAACCACTGACATTTGAGCTTATTTTGAAGAATTTGTTTACCAGATGGCTATGTGGTAGAAGGACACAGCAGAGAGATGGAATAGCATGTTCAGAGGCAAATAGATGTGAAAGAATGTGATCAAATCAGGTGACTACTTTGCCTGGAGCACAAGCTGCTTGTGAAAGAGTAGTGGGAAATAATCCTGGAAGAAAGGATGGTGTATTGGTCCTCTAGTGCTGCTGTAACAGAAAATACCACAAATGGGTGACTTTTAAAAACAGGAGGTCGTTCTCTTAGTTTTTGAAGCTACAAGTCTGATTTCAGGGTGCCAGGCTCTAGGGTTGTGTGAAAGCTCCTCAACCTTGGGCTTCAGCTCTGCCTCTTGCTCCTGGCCCACTGGAGCTGGAGGCTTTCTCTTCACTCAGGCAGCTGTTGGCTGCTGAGGCTAACAAGCCAAGGTCAACAAACAAGAATGGCACAGTCCCAGTATTACCAAACACCACCACCAGGCCACTAACTCAAGTCCAGAGACAGTCCCAAGATCAGCAGGAAACATGGCAGGTTGCTAAATAAAGACTAGGTTATAGTCAGGGTCCAAGCATGGCAAAAAGCTCCGAAACCTTTCTCAACACTTTTCTTTATATGGGAGCCCTGGTGGCGTAGGGCCTAAGGCACTTGACTGCTAACCAGAAGGCTAGCAATTCAAACCCACCAGCCACTCCTTGGAAGGAAGACTGGGCTGTCTACTTCCGTAAAGATACTGCCTCGGAAACCCAAGGAAGGGGTCCCTATGAATCAGATCCAACTGGACATCAGTGAGGGTTTTTTGTTTTTTTTCCTCCGTATGTACTGGAAGCAGACCACAGCTCCTCAGCTGCTCCAGTAGATTCCACCATGGAGTTGATTACCAGTCCCATCATGGGGAATACTACATCCAGCTGCCCAGCCACTCTAAACCAGCCCAAACCAAGTTGACTTATGACCTTAACTACCGCAGATGGGGAGGCCCTCATACAGCAGACTAAGAGGCATGCCTGACATCCTGGAAGAGAAAGAATGAGATCAAATTTGGACTTTTTTTTTTTCTTTTTTTTAAATCATACTGAGGACAATGTGGATGACGCACAGGGAAGGCGAGGTAGTAGTAGGTACATCATCACACAAATCTCAGCGGTTGTTTGGGAGTTTTCATAGATGACAATGGAAGCAAACACTTCCGTATATGTGACATAGTAAAGAAATCTTTGTATGGGACTATAATTCTATATCCATAAGGAAAGCATCTTCCTTGTGGTGAAAACAAATGCAGAGGCATTTACTATGTTCACATGAAGAATGACTCCACTTACTAGGAGTCAAGATTTTTGAGTTGAAGTAATTATAGAAGTGAACAAATTAGCTTTCTGGGGAGCCTATGAAAATCTTCATTATTGTAATTGTTACATAAGTTAGCTTCATTAAATTCATATGAACCCTTTATAGAAGACCCATTAAAATATGAATGATAGTTTTCTAAACATTCTTAATGTGGGGGAGAAAACAAATCCAATCTTTTCTTAAAACTAGTCTTGAATCAACCCATCATTTTAAGACTTTACATATTTACTAAAAAAAAAATTGCCATTTTGCAAACATGATAAATGCCACTCCTAGAAAATATTTGCTGTTCAATAGGCCTTTGCATAATAGGATGTTTGATTTAACTGTCACCTATTATTTTTCAAAGAAACTTTATAAAAATTCTTGAATTTTGTAATAAAACTTCCATTGGAACTTATCATGAAGACAATTCTATTACTCAAACTCTGAAACATAATTTATTGCACATTACAAAAAGGGTATGGAGGCATAATCCTCTGATCTCCTCTGACTTCACAAGGGGGAAAGGAGGATCCAAAATAACATCAGCAGCCTACAGCCTCTTTCTGTAAGGTTGAAATCAGACATGCCACCACACTGCAGCCTTTTTACCAGTTCTGACGTCAGCTGTCCCTCCCATGGCATTCTGTACTTCTCTACTGCGTTCGATAATTCATTGTAATGGTCACACAGAACTCACAGACAATACTCATGATTATAGGGCTTTTTAGGGAAGTAACAGGTTACAGTTCAGGTTAGGAACACACAGATACAATTCTTGGATCAGAACAGTCTCAGTCTCCCCTTGGCCATACCCTCAGGTACACCTCTCTGTGGCCCTTGGCCTCTCGGCCTGGCCTCTGCTCTGCCCTGCTCACACAGGTGTTAACAGAGCTCTGTTAGCTCTGCTGATCCGTGCATCCCACTCTGCCAACGAGCCTCCTGCCCGGAGGCACTCAGCTTTCTTGCTCTGTGGACAGGCAGGCCTGCTGCTCCGTCTTATGCTGGTGTCTTAATTTTGCTCCCTCTGCTGCTCCTGTCTCTGCCAGCTTTTCAGTGTAGAAGTTTTGGATCCAGGGATGCACTCTATCTACTCCAGGCTGATCTCTCTTGAGGCAGTGAGATTCCCCCCTACTTTGCTTTTTGGATGGCTCATCTTAAGCCTAGCAGAATGGCAAAACTGGCCAGTCCCACGTTAGGCTTCCATATACCTTCTTTGCACAGTCCCACCCCCACAAGAGTGCGATGTACCTTATTTACATTATTAGCAAGCTATCCAATTCCCTTGGTGGACTACAAGCCCTTATATTTACAGTCTCACCCAGTCATCTAGAGGAAGTCCCAAAGACTGGCTAGAAGAGCCCATCTGAGTAATTCACTGCACCACACACATTTGTCATGAATGCTCTTTTACTGTGATATAATTCTGAAACTTCACTATTATATATAGACAAGCGTTGCTTTTAGGGTAAGAAAGCAAAATGTGACTGTAATCAGAGTATCCTTTTAAAAGCATAGTCCACCATGGAATGAAAATGTATAAGACATAAAAGTTCTTGAAAATAAGGAATGTTTTGAAGGACTAATACCAAATGCTCCCTTTAAATACAGTTTCCTTAATTGTATTAATATAGGATCATCTTTCTTTTCTTTGGTGGACCAAACCTATTAAAATATCATTTAAAATATATTAAGTATAATTGTGTTAATAATTATGTATTGCATTTCTTGCTGTTTTTAAATAAATGTATATACATCAGAATGACAATGAAACTTAAAATTCTATTATTTTCTTTCTAGATTTATTCCTCACTACACTGTCTGTCTCTGATACCATCCAGTTTGAGATATGGGAAAATTTGGTAAGGAATCTTTTCTTTGAAGCATTTTTAAAAGATATCTTTCAGTTAAAGCACCCAACTTTAAAAACTAAAATCAAAGTAATCACTTGGTCTGTTGGTTTCAACAAAAAACAGAACAACTTTAAGAGCCTTTGGTTGCATTGCTGCATTCAAACTGCTGAATATTCTGAAGGAAATGATTCATTCAGCATCAGTTCCTCTGCAGGTTTTTCGGCATGACTGCCAATTAAACCAATCAGTCTGTCCTAATGCACATGTTAACAGGACCCCTGCAAGGCTGTCAGCTGTTAAGCAAGGTTACTGTCATTTAATTTGTCAGCATGGTAGTTTATGAAGAAAAAGCATTTTAAAAGACTAATTTTTCCTCCTTGCCTTTAGACTTGCATAAAGAAATAAGAACCACAGATACTAGAATTACTGCCAAGTTGACCGAGATACATAGATCTTTCCCAGTATATATAGATATTTCAGTTGAGAGTAGGAGATTCCCAAATTGATACCATGTTTTTTCGTTTTCTCTTTAGCTTGACATAGATTATTTAAAAAAATAAAACAAACAACAACAACAACAACAAAAAAAACTGCCATTGAGTCAATTCTGACTCATCGGGACCCCACTGGGTTTCCAGCTCACTGCCATTGAGTTGATTCTGACTCAGAGGGACCCCCATTGGGTTTCCAAGGCTGTAAATCTTTATGAAAGTAGATTGCCTCATCTTCCTCCTGCAGAGCAGCTGGTGGGTTTGAACCACCTACCTTGTGTTTAGCAGCCATATGCCTTACCCACTATGTTACCACAGCTCCTTGACATAGATTATATGAGAGATTAATTAATGAAGAATCTTAAAAGTTGAATTTCAGGCTGATAGTAGACAAGATTTGAGACCAGGCAAACGACTGACTCAGTGATGTTGTTCAACTATCTTTCAAGTATTAAACTTCTACTTCCTCATCTGGAAAATGGATATAAGAACTCTCTCCTTTGTACAGTGTTTGTGAAGATTAAATTAAACTGTGTGCCTAAAGTGCTTGACATACAGTAGACACCAAATTTTAATTTTAGATCTCTTCTTAATTTCCCATTAATTTACTCTTGATTCCCTTTTATTCAATCCAAATCGAACTGTAACCTTTTACAGATTTTTATTAAAATACTGCTGAAAAGCTGAATATGTAAAAGATTTACAGCAGAAGCCTGTGGTGGGAGACTCATTATCAGACATCTCTTATTGCTTGGTTAATAATGAATATATGATGCTGATACTGAGATTTCTTCGTGCAGGAAACTAAGATGGGAGAGGAGCTTTGTTTAGAGAAGATCAAGTCTTCCAACTACTTTTAAACTAAGTTAATTTTTTTTAAATGGGGCAAAGAAAAAGAAAGACATCTAAACCAGAAAGATTTATCTTTGTTTGATGTATTGCTTTTTTAAAAAATTATAAGTCTCCCACTTCTAGTGAATATCAGTTTGTTTGCAGATGCCCTTTCATTCCCACTTCAAGTGAATGTTGAAGTATTATAACATGTGATATGTATTTGGTTAACTAGAGTCCAACTGGAAGGGAACAGCCTCATTACAAATAAGTGGAAGATGTCAATAATACTACGAAACACTCAAGTATATGATACCCTCTCAGCTGATGCTGATTTAAACATAATAAAGTAAAGCAGTTCAATAGGAGATAAATCTTCATTGAGAGAATAGATTTTGTTTGGGATATTTTTTTCCTTTTTTTATTGTTTTCTTTAGAGAAAATTAATAAATTGGCTATTGAACAATAGAGACTAAGGCATATATATCTACAAATAGCTAGGTTGGTCAGGTAACCATTTTAACAATGAATAACTTATTAATACAAGTTAAGGAGAATGTAGACTCAAAATTAACTATTAAGATCATGTGTGGTTTATAAAAACTTAAGGATTACTTTCAGTTAAGAGATGAGCAGTATACTTTGCAGTAACATACTACTGGTAATTGACAAAAAGAACATACAGCCAAACCAATAAAACCAGACTAGCCAGTGTATAAACATCATGCTATACAAGGTAAAAGAGAAAACAGTAGCTTCTATCTGGTCTACCCAGAATTACCAGAAAGGCTTCAAGATAGATGTAGCATTTGAAATGGCTTGTACAAATGAGCAGGATTTTAGCGATTGGAAGTAAAAAAAATAAAAAAGAGCAGGTGGACAAGGAAGTGTAGTGGGAGACACAGAACATACTCAGAAAATAGAAAGGAGCAGGTTTTTGCCAGAGCACGAAAGAGATATTAGAAGGTAAGTGAGAAAGATTAGTTTAGACAGCTGATCTTTGCTGATCTAAAGAGCTTTTCTTCTAAACTAAGTAATATGATTTCTTAAAATTGTTGACCACCTATTAAAGTACTGAGAGCAAGATCAATAGAGGTTTCATTACTGCAGTTAATCTGGCTGCTGTATATGAGATACATTGGCATGGAAAATCTGGAGATGGGGAGGTAACCTAAGTGGGTTTACAATAATCTAGAAAAGAGGTGAATTAATGATTTTAGTACTAAAATGTTTAGAATGTTATAGATAACATTACAAAGAATGGGAATTCTAGAACCCTTAATTATGAGGAATTTGTACATAGACCAAGAGGCTGTTGTATGACATAAACAAGAGGATACTACTGCTCCTCCAATCAGGATACTTTCACCATGCTTACTCAATCTGTGCTGAGCAAATAATCCAAGAAGCTGGATTATATGAAGAACACACCATCAGAATTGGAAGACTCATTAACAATACAATATATAGATGACACACCTTGCTTGCTGAAAATGAAGATGACTTGAAGCACTTACTGATGAAGATCAAAGACTATAGTCTTCAGTATGGATTACATCTCAATGTAAAGAAAACGAAAATCCTCATAACTGTACTAATAAGCAACATCATGATAAATGGAAGTAAGATTGAAGTTGTCAGGGATTTCATTTTACTTGGATCCACAATCAACACCCGTGGAAGCAACGGTCAGGAATTCAGATGATGTATTGCACTGGGCAGTTCTGCTGCAAGGGACATATTTAAAGTGTTAAAAAGCAGAGATGTTACTTTGAAGATGAAGATGCACTTAACACAAGCCATGATATTTTCATTTGCCTCACATGCATGTGAAAGCTGGACAGTAAATAATAAGAAGAACTGATACCTCTGAATTGTGTTGGCGAAGAATACTGAAAGTACCGTAGACTGCTACAAGAATGAGCAAATCTTTCCTGGAAGAAGTATGCTCCTTAGAAGCAAGAATGACCAGACTTCATCTTACCTGCTTTGGTTATGTTGTCAGCTGGGACCAGTCCCTGGAGAAGGACTTGCTAAAGTGGAGAGGCAGAGAAAAAGAGGAAGGCCCTCAACCAGATAGATTGACACAGTGGCAAAACGATGGGCTCAAGCATAGCAAGGTTTGTGAGTATGATGTGGGACCAGGCAGTGTTTCTTTGTGTTGTACATGGGGTCGCTATGAGTTGGAATCAACTTGACAACACCTAACAGCAACGACAAGAAGGAAGTGAATGATTTTAGGAGTGAAATGTTGGGAATGATCAAGAAGGGTTATACATGAGAAGACAGTTATCCAGGTTAACTTGGGTTTTATGCTGGTGACCAGAAAAAAAAAAAAAAAAAAAGTTTTAGGCAGGGAAAATACAATTTACTGTAGGTAAGAGACATGTCAAGGAAGTGGTTAAAAAATGTAAGACCAGCACTCAAGAGAGACAATAGATGAATGTCATGAAGTTGGCAAGAGTTGAGAGAAGAATGTCGGAGACGGAGCATTGGACAACACCCACCACCTTTTATGTCAGAATTTCTCAACCTTGGCAGTATTCTCAGTTTGAGCCAGATAGTTCTTTGTTGTGGGAAACTGTTCTGTGCCTCGAAGGTTTTTTAGCAGTATTACTGCCACCTTCTGCCTACAAGATGTTAGCAGTAGTATCTCCCTCCCCCAGTTGTGACAATCAAAAATGTCTTCAGACATTTCCAAATGTCCCCTGGGAAGTAAAACCAGTTGAAAGCCACCTCGGTATGTGAATAAAGATAGACACACACAATAAGTTTTATGTAGTTCAAATTATTTTTTAACGTTATAAATATGGCATTTTAACATTTAATATTAAAATATGCCAAGGCATAGAGAGTCATCCATGAAAGGATATTTGCTACGAGTAGCACTTGCTAGAATTAAAGCAAAAAATGGCAAAAAGTCTCTTCTCTTGATGGGGTAGGTCAATGATTGGATAGTTTTGGTAATTGTGGTAGCAGAACTAGTCATATTGCTACTTGTGTTCCTACTGCTAGTAACTAATGTTAAATGAATGTATACTGTGTTCTAGGCACTAGTTAGAATATTTAGTCCCTATAAAAATCATAAAAGATTGTAAAAATCCTTATAAAAAAGTAGTTTTTCCATCTGGTAAACTGATGCTTAAAGTAGAACCAAATTGAAGGCCTCGGGCTAGCAAATAGGAAGCTAGGAGTTGAGGAAGGAAGTCTGTCTCTGAAACATCCACCCTGAAATCATGGTACAATAATTCCAAAACTCAGTAGATAAAGTAAGGCGATAGCTTCCATAGAACTCTAGCGAGTTGGCCAACTTTGGATTGCAGGAAAGCAATGAAGGCCAGTCAGAACAGTTTGGTAAGAGAGAGGCAGACAGTGGAGTGGATGAGTCCCAGAGAGCAGCCATGAAGGTCGTACTTGCAGCTCGTGGGCTCAGGACAGCATTGTGAAAATGCCTTGTAGGTGTCTGATACTCTACAGTTTGCACAACACTTTCATATGTGTCATACCATTTTATCCTCTCAAAAACCCTGTCAGTTGTTGACAGTGGAAAAACCACGACCCACAGCTGTCCCAGAATGACACAGCTCATCAATGAAAGCAGGTCCGGGCTCATGTCATCTAACTCTTTGTAGTTTGTCTACTGTAGTGCTCTTTCCACTAGACTATTTGTTCTCCTGGTGTACGATCAGAATGAAAAAGAGTATTGATTACATGTTCGTTTTTCCTACATTAAATAGCTACATAGCAGCTTCATCTTTGAAAGTAAGTGTAGTCATGATCCATTAAAAATGTTATCTAATGAGAATAATAACGTGATGGTGTAGTTTGCAAAATCATTTTTATCAAATATGTAAATAAGACTAATATTAGTAAAAATTAAGTTATATAAGTTTGTACTGCCAGGTAGAATAAAAACTAAGTAATAATGATGGGAAGTTAAATTCATGTAAATAAAGTACTGTCTTTTCTCTCAATTCTGTTATACACATAATATGCCCTACATGCTCTCACTGTGACAAGGATATATCATCTTTCTCCATCAGTTAGAAGGGTATATTGTTCTTCTGTTGATGCTGTGAATGTGGAGTCTTAGACAGGGGAACCCATCACCTGACAGGTACTCAAGTATTTCTTGATGGAGATGTATTGTGAGGTTGTATCTAGAAACATTTCTGGATATGTTTGTATTTCAGAAGTCTTTACCAAATTTCACTGACTTTCCATGGGGTAATTCACTCAGTTGAGTCAATATAATGAGTTGATATTCAGGTTTCTCTCACATGAGGTTTATATATTTTGAGAGAGACTTTTTACCATCCTTTCAGGAAACATTGTGTTCTCTCTGTACCCATGCTGTGATCTTTGTAAAATATTTCATGCAGAAATGTGGAACTTTGACACAACATCTCTAATGTAATTTCTGGTACTAGTAAGACTAGAGGGGAACCCTAAGGTTTAAGACACTTATCTAAGTAAGAATTCTATAGAAAAATCATATGCAAAGTACATCAAATGCTGTAGTAAAGGTAGAAAAACATGTTTCTGCATGTGGACAATGAAGTGTTTCAGTGTTTGGAAATTTTCTATCAGAAGACAAATCTTACTTATTCCTGGTCTGCAAGCTTTTGATATTTCTGCTTTCACTGTACCAATGACTTTTTCTATAAAAGTCATTAATGATTTCTCAAGAACTTGACTTACAAATCTACAGTAATTTCAGAGGAACACAGAAGGGGGAAATCATTTAAAATTATATTGGTATATAGGAATCAAGGAAGCTCTGGTGACATAGTGCCTCAGGTATTTCACTGCTAACCAGAAGGCTGGCGGTTCAAACACACCAGGCACTCCTCAGAAGTAAGATTGGGCAACCTACTTCTGTAGAGATACCACCTTGGTGACCCAAGGAGGGGTTGCTGTGAGTTGGAAACAACTCCATGTTAGTGAGTTTGGTTTTTATAGAAGTTAGTACATCAACAAGTGAATAGACTTGTTATTGATAAGAAGAGAATGCAGTACGAAATTGAGAGCTCACAAGCCCAGATTCAATGTTTTGGTTTTTTTGTATGTAATAATCTAAAATTATGAAATGAAAAGACAAAGCAATGCGTACTATTTTTGGAAGTCACATGTACACTGCTCCATTTTAGAATGAGTAAACAAAACGAAGGCTCTCTGCCAGGCCCTCCTTTTCTGTTGGACTTAGTTGCTTCTGCTGTGTTGCAGCTGTTGCAGCCCTTTGTCCCTCTACCCATTGACACATAAACTTGAGCTGCACGTCACTTGACCCTTTAAGGATCAGTACAATTTTTACTTCATTTTAACACCTTTTCCTAATTGTTCCCAGTACAGAACCTTCTTCCCTTGAAATCAGTAAAACACAGTACTTTTGCTACTTACTTGTACCAATTATATTTTACCTTTAGAAATTCTGCATTCTTAGCTTACATGTTTTCTTCTAAAAACAATTCTAAGCTCTTTGAAACTATGCTTCATACTTCTTCATGCTCCCAAAGCCTCCCACATACTTGAAAGGAGGAGACACTCATTGTGTTTGTAGTTATGGTGATGATTTGGTAAATAATATCATTGCCAGAACTGATAGTAAAGAAACCACTCCAAATGTTCATCTCCATCCCCTCACAGCCATTTCTTTTACTTTATGGTAAAAGTGGAATAAATGGTTAGAATGATTTTGAGCAACACATTGTTGCTTTAAATTATTTATATCCCTTCTACAATCCAGATGCTTTGTTCCACACCTGACAAATAAGTGGATGATGATGTCTAAACCAAAATTCTCTGTTTGACAGGATGGAAATTTCTCTGTCAGTAGTACACTGGAACAACCTCAAAATATGATGGTGGTGGGACAGTCAGCATTCGCAGACTTTGGTAAGGTTGTTTTCACCTTTCATACTCTCCTTCTCTCTAGGACCTGGTCACATTTCAGAAAATAACTTCAGTGTTTACAGAATTTTATAGACTTAAAAGATTCCTATTCTAGTATGCTACATGGCCTGTGGTCAGTTCCCAAATACAATAGGGTGTAATTTATGGCATATAAAGTAGGGAAGCCAATGAGGATTTTCTAGAGAATACCAAAAAGTGTTCTTTATATGTATAGCCAAAATATAGAACAGATAGATAATTGGAGGGATTAATCTGACTCTTAAAACTTTAACATTAAAAACCATTTTTAAAAATTTACATTTTAATTCCAAAGAAGAGCAACATACATTATGAATTTCCCACATATGAATTTCTGTTTCCTATAAGACTGCACAGTAAATCAATTTCATTTTTGTTAGAAACTTACAAAAAACACATGGCTCTTTTATCCTTTGTCTTGGTTACTGTTAAAGTGATTTTTGTGTCAAATGGAAAAATGGGTGGTCCGCCTCCTAAAAGGCATCTAAAGCTCCCTGTCGTCCTGCTTTTCCTTAATTCTGCCGACAAACACCTGTCTGTCCTTCCAAATGCAGGTGAGCTGTTACCATCTCCAGAGACCTCTGTTTCCTTATTTATGAATGAGGGAGGATGATGACAGTGTGCATCTCACAAGGCTGTCATGAATATACTGTGAGCAAAGCAGTGTTGGGCTCATGGTTGGAACACAAGGAATTATTTGTATAGTTTGAGTCTTTCCATTGTGGTTATCTGCGTTTTTTAATTGTTGATGCTCTTTACTCAGTCAGCTAAATCAGCTCAGTGTCGGTGTTGTAGAGCGGTGTCCTCTGGCAACAAAAGCAGGAAGTTTGATAGTGTTATTTGATGGACATTTCAACAATACCAGTATGTGTCCTGTATTTTAGTTTATTAAGTTGAATGTCATTTAAGTTTTGAGTAAATTTTTGGTGACTGGTTTCAACTTTTTGACGTAAATAGTCAAGTGATAGAATACATGTTTGTTTTTTTAAATTCACTAATTTTATTAGCTGGATTGATGACTTCAACTAAAACAATGATTCTTCATCTTTTAGAGATGGCGAAATCATTTGCAAGTCTGCCACTGGGGAAATAAAAGTGTAAAATGCACTTTGTAATTCTCATGAGCTTTATACACCTCTGTGAACCCCACCTACCAACCCTAAGAACTTTTAAATTAGTTATGTTTACAAATTTCAGAAAATTGTGTTAACCATATATGTGGATGTTAAAATGTTAGTGTTTTAAAAACCTGCAGAATATCGGACATAATCAACTAAGAAACATAACTACTCCTCTCTCCTGTTTTATAACATTAGATAGTTTGTGAGTGTACTTTTTTTATAATGTGTCAATAAAAGTTTAATAAATATCCAGTAATCCTTTTTTAAAAGTCTGTATATTTTTAGTTGGATATTGTCAAAATGTAAGACTCCTAATATCTCTATAGGAGTTCTGGCAGCGTAGTGCCTGAGGCATTTGACTGCTAACCAGAAGACTAGCAGTTCAAACCCACCAGCCACTCCTCAAAAGGAAGCTTGAATAATCTACTTCCATAGAGATACTGCCTCGGAAATCAATTTGATGTCAGTGAGTTTGGTTTTGGAATGTGTGTGTGTGAAAGAGAATTGCCGTCAAGTCAGTTCCAAATCATAGCGACCCCTCCTTGGGTTTCCGAGGTGGTATCTCTACATTAAAAAATCTAGTCTACTCTAAACTTAGGCTATTCTAGTATAGCCAAAGAGGGTCAGATGGGGTGGGTTAAAATCAAACAAATCAGGAACCTTTACCAAATAAAGAAAGGAAATAATTAACCAAAATAATGATAAGTTACTTACTTCCTTTATTCTAAGAAAGAAATGTTTTCAGAAATCAACTGAATAAAACTCCATGGATTGTTACACAGCCAGTAAAAATGATACTGTTAGAAGAAAAAGAAGAACATTAAATTAGATGCACAATATGATTGTCTTAAAAAAAAACTAAAAAGAAATACATCAAAGTGGTAATAGTTGTATTAAAGTAGACTGTTTTATAACGTTTTCCAAATTTTCTGTTATGTGGTTATATCAGTTTAGTAATGGAGAAGCGTATTACAGAAGATAATAATCAATCATAACCAGAAAGAAACTGAAATTTATACTTGTTGTTGTTGTGTGCCATCGAGTCGGCCCCGACTCACAGCGACCCCTCCTTGGATTGCCGAGGCGGTATCACTACAGCAGTAGGATTGCCCAACCTTCCTTCCAAAGAGTGGCTGGTGGGTTTGAACCTCCAGCCTTCTGGTTAGCAGTCAAGTGTCTTAGGCACTATGCTACCAGAGCTCCTGAAATTTATACTTAGCAACCAGTAAAGTTTTTTTTAAGTGTTGTTAGTATTTTGTCACAGAAAATCTAAATTAAGTATAATTAATCCAGTCTTCTGAATTCCATTGCTGTGTATTTTCAAAGGGCCCGTAACTTATAAAAAAATGCAAACATTAGACTTCTGTTATCTTTAAATTATTGTGTTGAATACAGTGTGAGAAAGCAGGATTTTTTAAGGTAATGTCTTTGCCTTTAACAAATGTACAGTCTAACTAGGAAGACAAAAGATAAATGCTTAAAACATGAATACAAAAATAAAGCAACAAATAACTGCAACAATATAAGAGAAGCCAGAATGTATTTCATTGCTTATTATGAAATTAACGTCAATAGACAAATGTAGTCTAAGTGTTTTAGCAGTACAGACCACTAGAAAGCCTCATGGAAGAGGTAGGATTTGGCACAAGGCTTTGAAGCAGTTTTAAAGCTATGCTAATACTACATGAAGGAGCTCTGGTAGCACAGTGCCTAAGGCACTTGACTGCTAACCAGAAGGCTGGCGGTTCAAACACACCAGCAACTCCTCAGAAGGAAGGTTGGGCAATCTACTTACTTAGTGATAACTGCCTCGGCAACCCAAGGAGGGATCGCTATGAGTCGGGTCCTACTTGATGGCACATAACAACAATACTACATGAAGATATGAAAACTTGAAGTTGATAAGTCCAGCTGTTTTTCAGGCTTCACCATAAAGAGTTACAAAGGTTTTACCTGGCAAGCATCAGAGGTACAAGCTGCACTTCCTAACTAGACTTGGTACACAGGCAGTGCATTATAGATTCTGAAGGAGTTACTCAAGAACTCAGCCCCCATTGGTACAATAAAATACATAAAAGTCTTGTTCCACAACCTACACTGGTGAGTAGTGACTGAGGTCTTAAAAGCTTTCAAGCGGCCATCTAAGATGCAGCTAATGATCTCCTATCATCAGAAGTGAAGAAGAGTGCAAAAAAAAAAAAAAAAAGACATTTGGAAGCAATCAGTCTTAGGACATGATGGATCTTGAAACCAGAAAAACTAGATGGTGCCAGGCTACCAATGCCAACCACTCAGGAAAGGATCAAAACTGGAGATCCCAGATAGAATGGGAGGAAAAATGTGCAACAAAATCCAAAAACACAAAAATGACCAGAATTACAGGTCAGATGGAATCTGATGGGACCCCCAATACTATGGCCCTGGGATACACTTTGGGCCTGGAATAAAATTCATTCTCAGGGGTTGGCTCTTAGCTCAATAGTAAATAAGACATACACACAGACCACTCAACCTAGGGTTATGCACCCACATACTCTATGGAGATGCATCCCTTGGAGCAATTGGCCACAGGGCACCGAGGGGCGACATTTGCATGGATGAAATGCAGGACACACAGGAGTGCATAGCTATGAGGGGTATGGAGGCGGTTACTGGGAAGGGAGGGGGAGAGAATGAGTTAGGGTTGGGGATGGCAATTGGGGGGTGAAATCAAATGTACACGAAGTGTAAGTGTAAAACAAACTCTGCTCTGTAAACTTGTACCTAAAGCATAATAAAAATATATCAATAAAGAAAGAAAAAGTACAGCCAGAATGCTCTTTAGGAACAAGGATGTCAACAAAAAAGAACTCAGCCCCCAAATGATGTTCAGAAGTAACACCCATCAGAGTTGTGCAGCATGCTATAGACATACTGTTCAAAATAGGGTTCAAAGTGGACATTGGGCAAACCAAAATCATTAGTCACATTGCTTCTCTATTCGAGTCCCAGGAAGAGCAAGGAAGTAGATTGTACAAAGAGGCAACTGTGCAGAGCCTGCCATCTTGCCCCGTGATCCACAGATGAACCTTGTGCTTAAGGCCAGATTTGTCAGCCTGGCTTCTTAGAATGAGAGTGGGGGCTGACTTCTTTCTTGACCCAAACACATCCTGTGATAGCTGGTGGACTATCAGTGCACATCCTCTTACTCTCAGCTTATCAACATTCCCAGGAACTGCTCAGCTAACTATGTGCATTATGTGGCATCTGGCCAGCAGATAACTATATCTGTTCCTGGTGGGGAGGCAATAGGGTCTTTCTTCTGCAACACAGCAGGGGTACCTGCAGACTATTATCCCTATGTCAGTACTGTGGGATGTGACTTGCTGCCCATGGGGGACTGTTACCTGCTATTGATGCTGGTCATGCTCTTTCTCTTCTCTGTGTGAATAAAATGTTTCATATAAAGCCTGTCTCTAACCTGTGTCTTCTTGGTGACCTCTGACCTTGACTTGATGCCTATATATGTAACCAGTTTGGCTTGAATAGAGAGCTTCTGTAGCAATGTAGAAATATATACAAGTTGACTACAAATGCATTTGTTTACTAAATAAGTAAGAGATGGACAAACATTGATTTCATTCTATGTAAGTAGTGGGAAGTAGTAAAATGATTTTGAACCGCTCTTTTAATGCCTTTTTCTTTAATTTCCTAAAGAAAGTGAACAAAATCTGGTCTGGTGAAATATGTAGAAGATAATGGTTCTTGGTTGTCAAAATCTCTGAAGTGCCTGAGATTTTTATATATGTCAAAAGAGAGAGTGATTTAAACAGTTTCAGGTTTTTTTAATAGACTATTTTTTTA